GGTTCCTGCAGAGCTGGCACTGCCCACGTTGGCATGCTGTGCGTGCTCTGTGTCTCCAGGGTCTCTGTCCTTCCCTCACAGGCGCAGAGTCCCGAAGTGCGATTCCAACAGCAGCTGGAGCAGCTGAATGCCATGGGCTTCATCAACCGTGAGGCCAATCTGCAGGCGCTCATCGCCACCGGTGGGGACATCAACGCAGCTATCGAGAGACTGCTGGGCTCCCAGCCTTCCTAAACTCTGTCCTGCTGCCCCACAGGCGTCAGCACATGCATCCATACACATGCACAGGGGATCTTTCCGGAAAGCCCGCCATCATTTTCATATCTGACAGCTGTCCATGTATTTAAAACAAAAAGATACAGCTTAACCCCTGACCTTCCTACTAAGTTAAGATTTCATGTTGAAATGCTTTTTAACTGGCTTGTATGTGGATTCCAGTTCTCATCGTGGCCACAGAGACTTCAGATGTGTATTTTTTCCTAAATATGCCCTGTCTCAGACACTCTTCTCTCTCTCTCTAGATGGTAGAGGCGATACTTCTAGTTACTTACCTGAATGATTGTGTTTTGAGTAGCTTGATTTTAACTGTACATGATTCCTTCCCTTAGCCCTTCTTTCAGGCAAATATTTAAAAAATTGAGCCAAGTTTGGGGATTGGTTATTTCTCTCGGCGTCTTATTAGGAATGGATCAAAAGAAAAATTGAAATTACCTGAGAATTTCTGATGTCATTTGTCTTAATGTTTCCTGGGATGAACCGAGCCCGTGTCCCTCACTCACAGGTGCCTCCAATCTCCTGGGTGGGTGAGAAATGTGCATTTGAAGTGTGGTCTCTTTACACTCTGGGGTGGTATAATGGAACCCAGGGGTGTGCAGTGACCAGGTGTGCTGTTCTTGAGCTTGAGTTAAAAGTGCTGTGCAGAGGAAGGTGTTTGCAAGGTGTGTTTCTGCCCAGGTCAGAGGTGTCCAGGGGCATTGACTCCTGTGCCCAGTGGGCTCATTTGTACAAGTGTGAAAACTAAAAAGGAAATGGAAAAATAAGCTAACGGTCTTCTCGCTTCACTGAAAAATGTTGAAGTTCATGTTTTCCCAGTTTAGATCCATCCTCCCCCCCACCCTTTCCATTCTGGTGTGTTTGAATGTTCAGACTGTCCAAGAGACTCCACCAGCAGGGTGGTATTTCCCAGGAGCCTCCATGGCTGTGTAATTTGCATTCACCATTTTTATCAAAGGAAAATAAATGCGCACAACCATCTGTCTCCCTGCATCCCTGTCTCATCCTTGCCTGCCAGTTCCCAGTCACTTGGGACTGGTCTGTGCTGTCCTCTTCCCGTGCTCAGCTCATGGGGGTGTCACTCTCCCTCCCACCCGCCCGGCTGCCTTCCCTCACCGCCAGGAAATCTCTGACACTTCAGGAATGTTGCTGCAGCTTCCCAAACACCGGCCCTAAAGTGCCGGTTTGGAAGCTTCCTTTGAATTCGAATTGGCAATTAGCAGCTGTTGGAACTGTTGGAACAGTGTTACTTGGTAGTTTTGAGTTTCTTCCAGTGTGGGAGGATTGGGCAGAGAGGGAAGAGGAGGTTTGCTGCATACCTGTAAAACCTGCTGCACCCAGGCTCCGGAGCTGGAAATGGATGGGTGTTGGTGTTGCTGAGAGTGTAGGTGGTGGTGGTGGAGAAAACACGGGGCTGGGAACACTCCTGCCTCTCTGTGCATCCTAATGAGGCTGCAATCCCTTGGAGGAGGATTTAGAAAGCAGCTTTAACCTCTTCTGGAGGCTCTGCACAAACGTGTGCAGTGCTTTGTGCAACCTCTGCGAGACGTGGGAGGTTTGCACAGAGCTGTGTAGGGACGGGACTGGAGGTCCAGATCAGCACTGGTGGGGTCAGAGCTCGTCCCAGATGTTACTGATTGGCCCTTTGCAGCTCAGAACAGGCTCCTGGAAATGCCTGTGTGATCCTTGGGATCTCTTTGGTGTCCCCTGACGACACTGAAGTCTGCACAAGCCAGCTCTTGTGAGGAATGTGCTCGTGGGAGGATGGATGGATGGTGCAAGCAGGGAAGGGAGGTGCACAGGGTCACAGGGAGTGGGGATATAACCCCATGGTGAGGAGCAAAATTAGTCCCCCCGGTGGTTTTGGCTGGGCAGAAATCACCCTTCCAGCCCCTCAGTGTGTCAGCAAGGTGTGATGTGGTGTCAGTCACCACAGTGCAAGGAATCTGTGTGTGTGTGTTGGAGGGATGGAGCAGTTTGGTGACTCCAAAGCTGGCTGGAAATAAATCTCTGCATGGTGGAGGAATCCTGCTGCCGTGTGTGCCGACGGCTGTGAAGCACTGAGGAGAGTTTGAGAATCCTGGAAAGGTTTGGGTGGGAAGAGCTCTCATAGCTCATGTCATTCCACACCCCTGCCATGGGCAGGGACACCTTCCACTCTCCGAGGTTGTTCTAAGCCCCATCCAACCTGGCCTTGGACACTTTCAGGGATGGGGCAACCACAGCTTCTCTGGGCAGCCTGTGCCAGGGCCTCAGCGCCCTCAGAGGGAAGAATTTCTTAATATCCAGTGTGAGTCTTTGCTCTTTTGGTTTAAAACCATTTCCCGTTGAGTCATTATCTGTCCATAGAAAAAGACATTTTAACAAGTTCTCTTTAACTCCTGATAGGCCACAATGAGCCCTCAGAGGCTGTCAAATCCTTGGTGTCTCTTGCTTAAGTGGGGAAACAAATTTCTCCTGTGTCTGCACATTGTAGCATCTGTTCTTGTGGCACTTTGGGATCACTGGGATCACTGGGATCACTGGGTGCAGCTGGCTCTGCTCTTTGGTACCCACGGGGTGCAGATCCAGCCTGCCCAAGCTCCGGAGAAAAAGGAGCTTTGAAGGCTGGTGAGAAGAAGCCTTTGAGTGAAATCTTAATCCCCTCCAGAGCTTTCCCTAATCCCTGGTAATGTGCTGTTCAAAGACCCACTTCCAAAGGAATGACTGCACTTTCTCACTCCCATCTCTCTCCTTCCCCAAGGAAGTGCCCAAAGGTGTTCTCACTGACTGTTTCCTCTCATTTTCCTCTGGTGAATAGAATTAATTATTTTCAAACATAATGAATTAAGCAATTTCTGCAGCAGGTAGTGGCAAATCCAGCTGATTTATTGGGAGAGATTTCTACTGTTATGGATATATTTATACTTCATTCCTCCCCCTTTCCCTGGAGGGGATCCGCAGCCTTTTCCCCCCAATATCCCAGCGTAACACTTCCAGCTTTGAAATCAAACCTCAAAAATGTAAAGGAAAGATGGCAGGAAATCAACACCTACATTCCTTTCAATAAATCAATTTTTTGGTTACCGAGTTCCATGGTATGGGCAGTTTCCTGTGGCCGCAGCCCTCACTGTGAAGGGGCAAGTTCAAAGTGACTCAAGAGAAGGTCAGTAGGGAAATATCCTGGGGTTAGGAGGTCATGGATTAGGACAGCTTGGAAAATGTATGTGTGTGTGGATGTCTAACTGCTGCAGCACCTTTGCTCAGCCACAGGAGCCGTGAGGAAGGGCTGAATGATGCTCCTCGGCCTCTCTGCTGAATTCTGCAGCATTTAAGGGCAGAAAACCATGATTTAGAGCATGCTTGGGCCATGGCCAGCCCCGACAGCTCCCTGCTGCAGGACCTGAGCGTGGCACATCTGGGTTCCTGTCACTGCCTGGCTGGTGCTGGTCACATTCCCCAGACTTTGCCGTGGGTTTTTGGGTGTTTCCAACTTGTAGGGTCGGCTATATCAGAGCCAACACTGCCCACAGTGGAGGTGCACTGGAACTCGGCGGACAAGCGTGTGTGTGTGTGTGTGTGTGTGTGTGTGTGTGTGTGTGTGTGTGTGAGCGTGGCTGCAGGTGTGTGCACATGTGTGTGCGTGCTTTTGTTCGTGTGCACACCCGTGTGTGTGCCCATACCTGCCTATCCCCGTGACCGTGGATCCCATGCCTCCATGTTCATGTCCCATGTCACCATGTCCCCGTGTCTGTGTATTCCCCCGTCCCCATATCCCTACCCCTGTCCCCATGTCCGTGCACCCCTGTCCTCCTGTCCCTATCCCTGTCACCGTGTCCATATATCCTCCTGTCCCTATCCCTGTCTGTGCAACCCCTGTCCCCATGTCCTTACCCTTTTCCCCATGTCTGTGTCCCCATATCCCTATCCCCACATCGTCCCATCCCCATACCTGTCCCCATGTCCGTGTGTCCTCCTGTCCTCATGTCCCTATCCCTGTCACCGTGTTCATATATCCCTCTGTCCCTATCCCTGTCCCGATGTCTGTGTGTCCCCGTCCCCATGTCCCTCCCCCGTCCCCATATCCCTATCCCTGTCCCCGTGTCCCTCCCCCTGTCCCGATGTCCGTCTGTCCCCGTGTCCCTATCCCTGTCCCCGTGTCCCTATCCCTGTCCCGATGTCCGTGTGTCCCCCTGTCCCGATGTCCGTGTGTCCCCGTGTCCCTCTCCCTGTCCCGATGTCCGTGTGTCCTCCTGTCCCTATCCCTGTCCCGATGTCCGTGTGTCCCCGTGTCCCTCCCCCTGTCCCGATGTCCGTGTGTCCCCGTGTCCCTCCCCCTGTCCCGATGTCCCTGTCCCTGTCCCGATGTCCGTCTGTCCCCGTGTCCCTATCCCTGTCCCCCTGTCCCTCCCCCTGTCCCGATGTCCGTCTGTCCCCGTGTCCCTCCCCGTGTCCCTCCCCCTGTCCCCGTGTCCCTATCCCTGTCCCGATGTCCCTGGCCCTGTCCCGATGTCCGTCTGTCCGTGTCCCTGCCCCTGTCCCCGTGTCCCGGCCCCGCCATCGGCGCAGTCTCGGCCCCGCCCATCGCGCATGCGCAGAGCCCGTTCCCGGCAGCCCGGCCATGACCCCGCCCCGGCCTCGTGCGGCGGCGGCGGGACACGCCGGGATATACCGGGATATACCGGGACACACCGGGATATACCGGGATATACCGGGACACACCGGGATACACCGGGATATACCGGGACACACCGGGGCTAGTCCCGGAACAAACCGGGATATACCGGGACTAGTCCCGGGACAAACCGGGATATACCGGGGCACACCGGGACTAGTCCCGGGACACGCCGGGATATACCGGGACACACCGGGACTACTCCCGGGACGCACCGGGGCACACCAGGACACACCGGGATATACCAGGAGACACCGGGACTAGTCCCGGGACACACCAGGACACACCGGGACTCCCCACGACCCTCCGGGATCGCCCGGAGCCGCCGGGCCATGAGCGCCGCGGAGCCGCCGGGCCGCGGGATGCTGTTCGCCGAGACGCAGCTGAGGCGGCACGGCTGGCGGCGAGGTGGGGCGGGCGGGGGTCCCCGGGCTGTCCCGTCCCACCCTGAGTGCCCCCGGTGCCCCCCAACCCCGGCTGACCCCGGACTCCGATCCCCAAGCCCCATCTTCCCCAGCTGCCCCAAGCCCCGGTACCCTCCATCCCCCGGCAGCCCCGGTCCCCACCCCAGACCTCGGTGGTCCCCCCGCTCCCCCCGGAGCTCTCCCCACCCTCGGGGTGAGTGACGGGCTCGTTGTGTGCAGGGCAGGGGCTGGGCCGGCGGGAGGACGGCATCGCCGAGGCCATCCGGGTGAAGGTGAAGTGCGACACGGCGGGGGTGAGTCCCGGTCCCAGCCAGCCCCGGCCCCGGAGCGCTGCCCGCTGCCCGGTGCAGCATCCCGGCAGCTCCTCTGCACCCCGCAGGTGGGACACGACGCGGCCGAGCCCTTCACCTTCCATTGGTGGGACCACGTCTTCAACCAGGCGGCTGCCAACATCGCTGTGGAGGCTGGGCAGGTTGGAGGGCTGGGGGTGGGACGGGGATGGGGCTCCTTCGGTGACTCCTGTACTGCCACCGTGGTGGAGAGGTGCTGCTGGAGGGGCAAAGCCCCTTGGATGGATCATTTCCAAGCCCTTTGCCTTTTCTCCCAGGATGGCATCTCTGTGAAGGCGCTTTCTGAGCCCAGAGGCAGCATCAGCAATAAGAAGCCACGCAAGGCTGGCAGCAGCGGGAGCCTGCTGTACGGCCGCTTCGTGAAGGTGACTGGCCCCAGAGCCTGGGGACTGCATGGCCCCCACAGCCCCGTTTTCTTTGTCCCCCTTGGTCACAGTCCCTGTGTCTCTGTGCTGCAGTCAGCCACGCTCACAGCCTGTGGGGAGGAGTCTGTGACAGCACCCAGCAGTGAGGAGGAGGAGGAGGAGGAGAAGCTGGACCTCTCTTCGGTCAGGAGGTGAGGCTGGGCCCCATCCCTTGGCAGAGAGGGACGAGGGCTGACGGGTGAGCCCTGCTCCAGGCCATGTTCCCTGTGCAGGTGCTGGGGTGACACATCTTGTCTGTGTCCCACAGGCTGACAGACGAGGAGCTGGTGCAGGCGTGCGGGGGTCGCACAGCACACAAGTGAGTGGCTGGGGCTCAGCTGGCCGGGCTGCCCCTCCTCGCAGGGCTGTTGAGCAGGCTGGGCACACCTTCCCTGCTGCAGAGGTGCCAGTCCTTGCTGCCCCTGGTCGTTGCAGGGGTGCCCGTCACGGCCTGACCATGACTGCCAAGCTGGCGCGCCTGGAGGAGCAGGAACGAGCCTTCCTGGCCACGTACCAGCAACGGGAGCAGCAGCAGGAGCCCCCGGGGAGCAGCCATGGCAAAAAGAAGAAGAGGAAACAGTCCAGGGATGGAGCCAACCCCGAGGAACCAACCAGAGAACAGGAGGAGGTGTTGGAAGAAGAAAAGGTTGTGAAGAGGAAGAAAAAGAAGCGGGGGCCAAGCAGAGAAGAGGAGCTGACAGGAGAGGAAGAGGTCATGAGGAAGAAGAAGAAGAAGAAGAAGAAGGTGATCACGGAGCCATGTGGAGAAGAGGTATCAGGAGAGGAGGAGAAGGTCATGAAGAGCAGGAAGAAGCCAGAACTCAGCACAGAAGAGGAGGTGGTAGAAGAGGAGGGGAAGGCTGCAAAGAGGAGAAAGAAGAAAAAGAAGAAGAAGGAAGAGAAGGACCAGGAAGAGCAGGACAAAGAGGAGCCAGCTAAAACAGATGTACCTCTCCAAGAGACGGATGAGCGAAACTTGGGGCACAGCCCTACAAAGAAGAGGAAGAAGAAGAAGAGGAAGAGGGAGCCAGAGTGAGAAGTGCCTTGGCTGCCATACTGTGCAGCTGCCAGTCCCACCTGGCTGTAAGGGTCCTGATCCCGGTGCTGGTGGTTGCCATGGGGTTCTCTGAGCTTGTTCCACATGGAGCCCAGCACTGTGGCCCAGCTGCCTGCGGATGCTGGGCTAAGAAAAGTTGTTCTGGAGCTGGATCAAGCTTTACTTCACCACCTGAACCTTCAGGAATGACCCTGTTTTCCCCCAGGCCCTTAGGCAGGGACCCATTTGCCATGGGCCTGCCACAGAAGGACACGAGGACACACCCTGCAGAGTACTGAAGTATTTTTTCAAGGGCATGAATAAATCTTTATTGTAATCAGATTATCCCAAAGTGTGAGTGACACTGTGAGTGGCAGAACCCCAGGTCACCTTTACACCTGCAGCACTTGGATTAGGCAGGAGCCCCAAAGAGAGCTCTCCCCGCAGCCCCTCACCACTCCCACATCTAAGCCCTTCCATCCTGCTGGCTCACACCGAAGCCCAGTGAGGTGCTGAGCACCCTCCCAGCAGAGGCTTGTGCAGGATTTGGCCCTGGTGTGCAGTGCTGAAGCTGAGCCTGGCCCCCCAGCCCCTCTGGCCCCAGCTCTAGGTCAGCTGCAGGACGCAGTCTGTGCCGGGGTACGCTGGCAGGTTCAGAGCATATTTCTCCTGCAGCGCAGGGGGCACAAACCTGCCCCCAAGGAAGTGGTAGCGGCCGGTGAAATGCATCGCTGCCTTCTTGGGCGCCGTCAGGGAGATGAGCATGTCAGGCTGGAGGCCGTCTGCCTTCCCCTTCTCCACATCCCAGCCTGCAACGAGCCCCGTGGCCAGGCTGCAGCTGGGACCACCCTGGCCGGGCACCTTCCCCTGGCAGGTGCAGCCACAACTCACCTGAGGGGATGTCAATGCTGGCGATGGGCACCGTGACGCGCTCCAGAGTGCTGAGGATGCTGCCAAAGGGCTCCCGCACTGCTCCCGTGAAGCTGAAGCCGAAAATGGCATCCACCACCAGGCCATAGAGCTCGTCGATGAACTCAGCCTGCGGGAGGGGTGGCAGCAGGTGAAGGGCAGTCCTGGCCACAGCAACAGGGGCAGGTGCTGCCAAGCTGGGGCTGCTCCTCACCTCAGCTGGGAACTCAGGGAGGAAAGGAATATCCATCTTCTTGCACTGGGTGGTCAAACCTTCAAAGAGGGGCTTGCTGGGGCGCTTGGGGTAATACACGGTTGGCTGGTAGCCCTGCAAGAGCAGAAGGCACCTGAGCTAATCCCACACTGGCACCAGCAGCAGCCAGAGGAGTGGGACCCTGAAGCCCACAGGTACAGGGGTGCACGGGTACCAGCAGACTCACAAACATCTTCAGGTGCCGGGCGCAGACCAGCCCATCGCCGCCGTTGTTCCCTGGCCCGCAGACCACCAGCACAGCGGGCTGGCTCGTGGTGAAGGAGCTGGGTGGGTAGGCCTGATGGGGGGCAAGAGGCACAGGGTTATGATGGGGAACTGGGCTGGGATTTGCAAAACCCCCTATTTGGGACTGGCATGCCCATGGGATTGGGATGATTCCCAGGATCACCATCTGCCTGCCTGGTGCCCACCTTGGTGGCAGCACAGCTTGGTACACAATGCCAGGACCCCCAGGACACTCCCTTGCATCCCAGGGCAGGGACAGCACTCAGCCTGTAGTGTTTGCACTCTCCCCCAGGATCTCCACCCACCTCCTGGCACCCACCTGGGCAGTGGCAAAGCTCAGTCCACAGTGTCGGGACCCCCGCCTTGCTGCTGGCAGTGGCACAGCTCAGCCCACGATGTTGGGACCCCCACCTTGCTGCTGGCACGGGTGCAGCTCAGCTCACAGTGCCAGGACCCCCTTCTGCCCCCCAGGACCCCCACCTTGGCAATGGCAGTGGCACAACTCAGCCCACAGTGCCGGGACCCCCACCTTGCTGCTGGCACTGGCACAGCTCAGCCCGTGATGTCGGGACCCCCAAATTGCTGCTGGCACTGGTGCAGCTCAGCCCACGATGTCGGGACCCCCACCTTGCTGCTGGCACTGGTGCAGCTCAGCCCGTGATGTCGGGACCCCCAAATTGCTGCTGGCAGTGGCACAGCTCAGCCCACAGTGCCAGGACCCCCTTCTGCCCCCCAGGACCCCCACCTTGGCAATGGCAGTGGCACAGCTCAGCCCCGCCAGCTCCATCAGCTGCTCCACGCTGAACCTGTACTCAGTGAAGAGCTCCTGGTCGATAGCCTGGGCCTCCTCCTGCCTGGGGTGGGAGATGGCACCGCTGGGTACCCCAAAACCGGCCAGGCCCAGCCTGGGGGCTCTGACAGAGCTGAGCCCCGCGTAGATCCGCACCCATCCCCGCGCCCTGCCGGCCTACCCCAGGAAGCGGAGCCCCGCCGGGCCGGGCCGGGCCGTGCCGGGGCTGTGCATGGCGCGGTGGGGAAGGCACCGGCCCCGCTCCCAGCCCCGCTCCCAGCCCCGGTTCCAGCCCCGGTTCCAGCTCCAGCTCCAGCCGCGCTCCCGGCACCGCCCGCCCGCCCGCGCCGCCGCCACCAGCAGCCCCAGGCCCAGCAGCGCCCGCGGGCCCGGCATGCGGCGGGCACGGCACGGCTCGGCACGGCCCGGTACCGCCCGGCACAGCACGGCCCGGTACCGCCTGGCACGGCCCGGCACGGCCCGGTAACGCCCGGCACGGCCCGGCCCGGCCTGGAGCTGCACGGAGCAGGCGCGGGGCCGCCCCGGGGCGGAGCGGCCTGCACCGCCCGGCGAGCCCCTGAGGCCTCTTCATTTCCTCCCGCGGACCCCGACACAAATGATTGGCTTTTCGCAAATATTGCAATGAATATGATATATATATGTGTTCTAAATGAAAATTTGTCCAGCCAAATTAATATGAATAAATAAAATATTTATTTTGCAATCAAATTCTATCTAGCTAGCCACGAGGAAAGAACAGAGCCGAGCCCGGGGTCGGCCCTGGGTGTGCAACAAGGAGTCAGCCTCAGCAGAGGTTTTCACACCTCCATCCTGGCACAAGCAGTTTTTATAGGGAAAATTCCGCCTGAGGCCAAGATTTCAGCAGTCAGCCTTTTCTTCTATTCAGAGTCCATATGTTAATAAGATTTTCCTTTTTGGTGATGAGGGAGAACAAATCACTGTCCGGAGTTTGTTGAATCCTTGATGAAATTTATGGGAATTCGGGAACGCTGTATTCACATGTGTCTGCCTGAGGATTTCCATGATATCCATCTCGGGTCGTTCACGCGAACGATCAGCACCTGAGGTTTCTGTATCTCCCCAGACATGGCCCATCTCCTGGCGAGCTGTACCTTCTTACTTGTAAATCAGTTTCCAATCTACACCCGGTCTCACCTGCGCCTGTGAGAGGAGGGGGGGGGGAATCCTAATACAAACATGTATACTCTAACAAATATTCAATATCACATATATCATATTAGAAATGGCGCAAATTATATCTACTACACATAATATATGTAATGTTAGAAAGTGATGCTGTATTAATTCTCTTAAGTAGTGTGTTAAATATAGTTTTAAGTTCCAACATAATGTTAAAATAGAGACTATGTATGTGAGGGGAGTTTCTTTTTTTTGGAATGAGATACTCGCTTCGAGGAACACCTAAATCTTCCAAGAGAAGAAGAATTTATGGTTTTCTTATCAGAAGAAGCTAATTTCTTCAGGCCTTGCTCAAGTTGAAGACGACTTGGGGATTAAAGGAAACAGCTGACATACAACAGACAGAGTTCTTGTTTTAAATAGAATGTATGCATAACCATGAAGGATATATGAATATGCAACAGGCTGTTGTTTTTAAGGTTATTCCTTTGTTCACAAGGTATGCTTTTTGTGACTTGGTGTCCGAGAGCATCCGGACATCTGTAATTATTTGCTTTTTATTGTTTTGCAATTGTCCTAACTCTAAATTTTATTACTTTAATGATATTATTATTTTTATAACCATTTTATTATTATTAAACTTTTAACATTTTAAGAACCAAGTGATTGGTGTTTTTCACACACAGGACGGTGGAAATGGAGCGGGGTCAAAATCGTGTTGGCTCAATGACCCACCTCCCCCAGCCTCCGGTTTGGAGCTGCACAGGCCCCCCAAGAAATGGTGTTTCCCCGGTGTCCTGCTGGTCACACGAGGCTGCAGACGAGGGACAGAGTCCTGATCCCCGTGCCAGGTCCCCGGCGGGGCCAGCAGCCGGCAGCAGTGGCACTGGGGTCACGGTCAAGGCTGCAAGGTCACGGTGGCACCACGGGGAGTGGGGGTGTCCAGCAGGATGCAAAATGGAATAATCAAACCACCGAGTCACAGACTGCTTTGGGTGGGAAAGGATCTTAAAGCCCATCTCATCCCAATTTCCACTACCCCAGGTTGCTCCAAGTTCTGTCTAACCTGGCCTTGAGCACTTCCAGGGATGGGGCAGCCACAGCTGCTCTGGGCAACTTGTGCCAGGGCCTCAGCACCCTCACAGGGAAGAATTCCTTCCCAATATCCACCCCCACACCCCCGATCCTCACCCTCTGGCAGTAGGAAGCCATTCCCTCCCAATATGCTGGCCATTCCTTCCCAAAATCCCACTGATCCCTGCCCTCTGGCAGTGGGAAGCCATTCCTTCCCAAAATCCCACTGATCCCCACCCTCTGGCAGTGGGAAGCCATTCCCTCCCAAAATCCCACCGATCCCCGCCCTCTGGCAGTGGGAAGCCATTCTCCTTGTCCCGTACTTCAGTCTCTTGTCCAAAGTCCCTCTCTAGCTCTGTTGGAGCCCCTTTAAGCAGTGGAAAGCAGGAGTGGGCAGGAGGTTCATACCAGGATCCTGGAAACCACCCTTAGATGTGCTGCCCCATGCACAGGACACAGTTTTGGTGTTGGCTAGGAGGTGCCAAAATCCCCATCCCCTGCGACTTTTGGCTTGGGGTCATGTCTGTGCCAAGACACAGCTCTGCTGGGGTCTTCCCTTGTGAATCCCCCCCTCAGAGGACACTCTGGAGCCCAAACCTCCCTTGCCCACTCCTCCAAGGCATCACCTACCTCTCTGGAGGCCTCGGAGGGAGGGTTTGGTGGTTTTGATGCCCTCTGGAATGCAGTGTGAGACCCTCAGGCCTGGGCTCACTGGAGAAGCGATGTTCTGGTTGTCTGGGGTACTTGGGGAGCTGGAGGCCTGCATGGGGTGGCTTGGCCAGGGGCAGGGGGCTGGTGATCCTCGTGCTGAGAGACAAGTGAACCTCATGTGGGGGTTCTGGACAGCATCTCTGACAAACTCCCCTGTCACATTGCGATGGAACCCTCCCTAGGATCCAGCTGGAATGACCCCAAACGCACTCCCAGAATTACATATCTTTAAAAATCTCTGGATTTTCACCATTAAACAGGAGAAGTCCCTTGTGCTGCAGGGGTATTTGGGTGCCAGGGGCTGTACTGAGGTGCCCACCCACCTGTTAGCATGGGGCTCACTGTGATACCCTGGAGCTGAGCTGGGACCATCATCATCCTCCCCAGAGGTGCCCAGGAGGCCACTTGTGTTGCAAGGCTCCAGTGTGAGACCACCAGTCAGGGCCACTCTTGTGCCTGCAGGAAGGAAGGACAAACAGGCAAGAGCACAGTATCAGATGTGCCAAAGACTCAGCTCCATCAGGAATTGCCTGATGGCTCAATCCCACTTTTAGTTTGCACCCTCTCACCTGAATACCCGCGATGTGCTCCTGGCACACGCCAATACAGCTCGTCCTCAGCCTGGGCTTTCCCCCTGAAGGACATGGAGAGAAGGAAGGCTTGTCTCCTGTTTCATCTGGAAACTCATTCCAGGGAAGGAGAGGGAAGATGGCAGCTTTCCTACTCACACCTCGCTCCCCTGGAGCTGTGTCCTACTGGCGTGGGGCAGTGTGGAGCAAAACCGCAGCTGGCTGGGCTCCTGATGGGATTAACATGTGTTAATCTGCCCAGCAAACTCAGGCACCTCTTGCCCCAAGCCCTGCTGGGGTCCCAGTTCCCATCCCTCCAGAGTGTGCCATGCCCTGGGTGATGCTCACCAGGGCTGGGTTGGGTGCCCAGCCTGCCTGGTAGGAGAGGCGGCTGAGGTGGAGTCGGCGCTGGATGGCATCTGTGAGCTTGTGCACGACCCGTTTGTGGGCAGCTCTGGGGCTGTCCTGTGGTGGAGAGAACCTCTATGTGTGATGGGCTTAGTGGGTTTGCCCCAGGGCTGATGCCAGTGCCCCATGATTCAGGGGAGGGTCCAGCCCTGGGGGTGCCCCATCATGCCTTACCTGACAGCGGGAAAGCAAAATCAGAGCCTCCTGATAGTGCCCGATGGCTTTCTGGGGGTCTCCCAGGTGGAAGCAGGCCGCACCCAGCCCCTCGCACGCTTGCCACTGCCCCTGCAAGTCCCCTGGGAGGCAAAGGGCTGCATCGGTCCCTGCACCCTGGCAGGCAGCATGGCATGGCTTGGCTCTGGGATGCTGCAGGGCTGCCGTGCCTGCCCTCACCCGAGTCCCGGAAGGCTTGCAGGGCATGCAGGTAGCTCTCCGCGGCAGCCCCGTGGTTCCCGAGCTGGCTGCAGGCCTACGCCAGGTTCCCAAAGCTCTGCGCCTGAGCCCTGCGGTTCCCCAGAGCGCCTGGAATTGGGAATGTGAGGAACTGCATTGACTTGTTTGTTCATCAAAAGTATAAAATTAGGATAAAAGAGGGGGAAGTCGGGACATGGAATTTGCAGGCTTGACTGGTAACCACAAACAAAGATTGTGAAAGATTTTGCAGGACTGGCTGGAACTGATAACCGCAGTGGAAACCCATTGTTGCTGAAACTGATAACCACGGTGGAAGGAGACCCATCACTCCCACTTATGCAGGATAAAAAGGGACTGAAGAGAAGGAAAGGTTGTCAGCTTTTGGCGGAACACAGGCTCCGCAGCTGCACCCAGCGCTGTTTGTTTGCTATCGCTTGCTGTAATTAATAAAATTATTAATTGATCTTAAAAGGCTGAATCAAATTATTCGCCTCAATTTATAACAGGAACACAGGGCTGCATGCCGAGCTGGCACATGTGGCAAAGCCAAGAGGCAGGGGCACGGTGTGAGCTACCGTGCAGCGCGGCCGCACGCCGGTGCCAGCGCAGCGCGGGGCCGAAGCTGCGCAGGGCGTTGAGGGCAGCACCCAGGTTCTGCAGCAGCGCAGCCTCGCAGCGCCGGTCCCGCTGCAATTCTGCACCACACAGCGCCAGGGCCCGCTCGAAGCTCTCAGCGGCCAGGGAGAAGATGTGGAGCTGCGAGTAGCCGAGGCCGATGTCGTTGTAGAGTTTCCCTGGGGACAGAGAGGAGAAGCAGCGTGGGAGCCGCTCGCCAGGGCGCTGAGGGTGAAGGGCGCAGTGTTACCTCGCAGGGCCGGGTCGGGGATGGTCTCGCAGAGCGAGCGGCACCGGGCGAGGACCCCGGCGATCTCTGGGGGCCGGAACCGCCGGCTCTGCAGCATGGAGCCCCCAGCCCTGCTCAGAGCCACGGCTGCCGCCTCGGGGCTCTCGGCCGCCGCGTAGGCCTGCGCCGCGTCCAGGAAGCACCGCGCCGCCCGCGCCGGCTCCCGCAGCCCCAGGTAGCAGCAGCCCATCTGCACGGCCGTCCCCGCTCGGCTGCCGGCCTCCGCAGCACCGGCCTGCCCGGAGACTTTCTCAGAACACTCCAGAGCCTTTGGAAAATCCTGGAGCCCTTTGTGCGCCGCCCCAATGCTGAAATAAAGGCTCCCCGAGTGGTCCCTGCTCTCCTCCTCTGAGGGCTGGGACTGGAGGAGGAACTCAAAGCCCTTTTTGGGCTTCCCAGTTTCCACGTAGGCAGCCCCCAGGTTGAAGGCACAAGCCCTGTGGAGCTGGGGGCTCTCTGTGTCCCTGGAGAGGAGCAGGGCCTTCCTGAAGCACCCCACTGCCTCCCGCCCGGCGCCCAGGGCCAGCGCCCGGTGTCCGGCCCGTGTCAGGCCCTCGATGGCATCCATCCGCCCTGCCGCCTCATCCCCTCCCTCCGGAGCAGCTGCCCTGGACTCAGCCGCCTTCTTCTTCTTACGGCTCTTCTTGCCGCTGGTGGGGGCTGTGGTGGTGGTGGTGATGGTGGGGGCAGAGGCGACAGAGGGGGCAGTGGGATGTGTGGGGGCAGTGGGATGTGTGGGGACAGAGGGGACAGAGGAGGCAGTGGGATGTGTGGGGGCTGTGGGGTGTGTGGATCCTGTGGGGACAGAAGGGGCAGTGGGATGTGTGGGGGCTGTGGGGTGTGTGGGGACAGAGGGGGCAGTGGGATGTGTGGGGGCAGAGGCGACAGAGGAGGCAGTGGGATGTGTGGGGGCTGTGGGGTGTGTGGGGACAGAGGGGGCAGTGGGATGTGTGGGGGCAGAGGCGACAGAGGGGGCAGTGGGATGTGTGGGGGCTGTGGGGTGTGTGGATGCTGTGGGGACAGAGGGGACAGTGGGATGTGTGGGGGCTGTGGGGTGTGTGGATGCTGTGGGGACAGAGGGGACAGTGGGATGTGTGGGGGCTGTGGGATGTGTGGAGACAGAGGGGACAGTGGGATGTGTGGGGGCAGTGGGATGTGTGGATCCTGTGGGGGCTGTGGGGGCAGTGGGATGTGTGGGGGCAGTGGGGTGTATGGATCCTGTGGGGACAGAGGGGACAGTGGGATGTGTGGGGGGAGAGGGGACAGAGGGGGCAGTGGGATGTGTGGGGGCAGTGGGGTGTGTGGATCCTGTGGGGACAGAGGGGGCAGTGGGATGTGTGGGGACAGAGGGGACAGAGGAGGCAATGGGATGTGTGGGGACAGAGGGGGCAGTGGGGGCTGTGGGGGCGGTGGGCTGCACTCCCAGCTCAGCAGCCTCTTCCGAATCCATGGGCAGGGGCAGCAGCCTGCCTGGAACAGACAGAGGTGCTTAGGCAGCCAAGTCAGCATAGTCCAGCCAATGAGCACTTCAAATGAACAGCATTATTTTACATTATTTATGAAAAATTAGGGATGTCTTGTAGGCTGTTTGCTATTAAGTTTCAGGAAGGAAAAAGTTCTTTCCATGGAGGACCCCACAAGCCTTGGTGGCCATGACAGAGGAAGGAGGTCACTGAGGGAGGAGGAGGGACAGCATGGAGTGGGAGTTGCTGGGGTGCCTTTTTGGGAGGCAGAATAATGGGTCGCACACACTTACTGTTTGCTCTTCAGGTGCAAAGGGTGCTGCGAGCGAGGAGCAGAGAGACGAGGCATCCCCACCGCTGCTGCGGGACGAGGATGTCTGAGGCACCTCGGCCTTGGGCTGCCTGGAAAGGTGCCTGGAGCGGGTCACAGCCCCTGGGATGGACGGCCGCGTTCTGAGAGACGGGAGCGTGGCACAGGCTGGGACAAAGCCAGGCCTGCTCCTGGGAAAGCACATCCCACAATGGCCCCGCGGGCTCCAGTTTCATCCCTGTCACCAGGGTGGTGTGCAGTGCCATGGCAACTCCGTGCAGCCGTGCCAGTGTCAGCCCTGTGATGGATGGATGGATGGGAAAGCTGTGTGGTGGCCAGGACAGCCATGGAATGGATGGCACACCCGGCTCCTTGCTGTCTCACAGCTCATGGCAGATTCTGGGGGCTTGTTCCATGTTTTGGAGCAGGTTGATGGATGGACTCAGAGCAGGGAGGGTACAGGGTACCCCGGGGCCGGGTGGCACGTCCTTGGTCTGGCACAGCACTGACCCCTTGGCACAGCCCGTGCAGTCCCCCAGCAGCCCTCGCTTGGCCCTGCACCCCGGTGTTTGCCCAGCCCCTGCACCCCAAGGTTCCTCCTGCAACCCGAGGCTCCCCTCGCTCTGTGTGTGTGTGTCACCTCCCCGCACCCCCGGTACTCCCTGAGCTCCCCAGTGTGTGTCCCCCAGAGGTGTCCCGGTGCCCCGGGATCCCAGTGCTGCCACTCCTCGGTGTCCCGGTTTCCCGGGGTCTCGGTGCCGCCGCTCCCCGGGGGTCTCGGGGTCCTGGTGTCCCTCTGTCCCGGCACCGCCGCTACCCGGTGTCCCGGGGTCCCAGAGTCCCGGTGTCTTGCTGTCCCGGTGCCGCCGCTCCTCGGTGTCCCGCTGTCCTGGGGTCCCAGTGCTGCTGCTCCCCGGTGTCCCGGGGCCCCAGGGTCCCGGTGTCCCTCTGTCGCGGGGTCCCGGTGTCCCAGTGTCCCGCTGACCCAGGTCCCAGTCCCTCTGTCCCAGTGTCCCAGTCCCGTGTCCTGCTGTCCCGCTGTCCCGGGTCCCAGTCCCGCAGTCCTGAGTTCCAGTCCCTCTGTCCCGCTGTCCCCGGTCCCGCTGTCCCGGGTCCCAGTCCCGCAGTCCTGGGTTCCAGTCCCTCTGTCCCGGGGTCCCGCAATCCCGGTGCCGCTGTCCCAGTCCCTCTGTCCCGGTGTCCCAGTCCCGTGTCCCGGGTAGGTGATTCCCAGGAACAATTAGCTAATTAACATTTCAGTGTCAGTACTTAGCCCAAGCCAAGTGTCCCAGCCAGGCTGTTTTGTTCATAACACTGCTGTCCCAGTCCCGGTGTCCCGCTGTCCCAGTCCCGCTGTCCCGCTGTCCCAGTCCTGTGTCCCGGTGTCCCGGTGTCCCAGTCCCGTGTCCCGGTGCCGCTGTCCCGGTGTCCCAGTCCCGGTGCCGCTGTCCCAGTCCCGTGTCCCGGTGTCCCAGTCCCGTGTCCCGGGGTCCCGCAGTCCCGGTCCCGTGTCCCGGTGTCCCAGTCCCGCTGTCCCAGTCCCGGTGTCCCGGTCCCGGTCCCGGTTCCGGTGCCGCTGTCCCAGTCCCGGTGTCCCGGTCCCGGTGTCCATTCCCGCTGTCCCGGTCCCGTGTCCCGGTGTCCCAGTCCCGGTGTCCCGGTGTCCCGGTCCCGTGTCCCGCCCGGCAGTCCCCGCGCGCGGCCACGTGTGCGGCGGGAGATTCAAACCACGGGCGGAGCCGCCGCGGCCATGGAGGGAGCGGGACCGGGGCGCTGTGAGTGACCGGCACCGGCACCGGCACCGGGGGGCGGGAGGAGGAGGGCAGCGGGCACGCCCAGGGGGACGGGGACGGGGACGGGAGGGGGACAAGTCTGGGGTGCAGCGAGCGGGGGGAGGAGAGGTGAGTCCGGGGGTGCGGGGATGGGAACAGACGGGTCTGGGGTGCGGGGATGGGAACAGACGGGTCTGGGGTGTGGGGATGGGAACAGACGGGTCTGGGGTGCGGGGATGGGAACAGACGGGTCTGGGGAACAGACGGGTTTGGGGTGCGGGGATGGGGGAACAGACGGGTTTGGGGTGCGGGGATTGGGGAACAGACGGGTTTGGGGTGCGGGGATGGGAACAGACGGGTTTGGGGTGTGGGGATTGGGGAACAGACGGGTCTGGGGTGCGGGGATGGGAACAGACGGGTTTGGGGTGTGGGGATTGGGGAACAGACGGGTCTGGGGTGCGGGGATGGGAACAGACGGGTCTGGAGTGCGGGGATGGGAACAGACGGGTTTGGGGTGCGGGGATGGGAACAGACGGGTCTGGGGTGCGGGGATGGGAACAGACGGGTTTGGGGTGCGGGGATGGGAACAGACGGGTCTGGGGTGCGGGGACTGGGGAACAGACGGGTTTGGGGTGCGGGGATGGGGGAACAGACGGGTTTGGGGTGCAGGGATGGGAACAGACGGGTTTGGGGTGCGGGGATTGGGGAACAGACGGGTTTGGGGTGCGGGGATTGGGGAACAGACGGGTCTGGGGAACAGACGGGTCTGGGGATTGGGGCAGTGTGAGGGCACAGCTAAGCCTGAGGGGCTGTGGGGACAGGTATGGGGTGCACGGACGGACAGGGACTCTGGGTGTGCAGAGTTATGGGGGAGCAGCCGGATTTAGGGGTGCAGGGGGTTGAGGGGGAACAGGCAGGTCTGCATGTGGGTAGAGGGACGGCAGTGACAAGGTGCCAGGCCCATGGGGACAAACTGGGGGGGACATCTTTTGAGGAATGGTTTGTTGGGAGGCAGCTGGGTGTCCCCCAGAAGTCATGGGTGCCTCCAGCACGAGCAGCAGTGTAAAAGGACCCTAATCCCATAGCTGTGTTGCCCACCTCCTCCCCGGATGCTTGATCCGTGCCCTCCCCCACTCCAGTGCCTGCTCCCATGGCCGTTATTTGGGAAAAAGGGAAATTGGAAACTTTCCTCCCACTGCCAGAAGGGCCTGGCTGGTGGCACTGTGATGTTGGTGCCGCTCCCACGAGGGCTGTGGGAGGCTACTGCACCCAAAGCCTGCCTCCCTTTCCCAAATCTTAGTTTTAGTGGCCATGGGAGCTTCAAAAAACCTCAGAGCAGGGGGCTCTGATGGGATATCCCCCTTCTGCCCAGGCGAGCGCCTGACTGCCGATGAGATGGACGAACAGAGGAGGCAGAACGTTGCCTACCAGTACCTGTGTCACCTGGAGGAAGCCAAGCGGTGGGGCTGCGCTTGGGGAGATCCTCAAGCTCAGATTTGGGGGGGAAAAGGGGTGTTAAGGGGAGGGACAGGGAGAATGTGTGGGGAGTGGCTTCAAAATGCTGCTTGGATCCTGTGGTTTTATGGCTCCTGAAAGTTGGCTGGGGGGTTTGTTTTTTGTGGGAGGACACTCAGCCCTACACCCAAACTGAAAATCACCCCGCAGCAAAAGCCTGAGGGCTGAGCTCCCCTGCCAGGGGGGGTTTATTGGAATGGGGTTTGGGGGGGGGGGGCTGTCCTTTGGGTGCTTTTCTGCTGGGTGGGGTGCTGGGGGTCAGTGACGTGCCCTGTCCCTGCCCTGCCAGCTGGATGGAGGCCTGTCTGGGTGAGGGGCTGCCCCCACCCACGGAGCTGGAGGAGACTCTGCGCAACGGGGTCCTCCTGGCCAAGCTGGGCCACTGCTTTGCCCCTGCCATCGTCCCACTGAAGAAGATCTACGACCCTGAGCAGACACGGTACAAGGTAAGGCTGTGGCACCAGAGGGAAGGTGTAGTACCCCTTGGGGTGTAGCCCCAAACCTTTCCCTTGCTGGTGAGTGCAGAGTGAGGAGGGGCTCGCTGGCAGCAGTCCCTGAGGGACTGTTCTGTAGCAGTGGCTGCAATGGGGTCCCTGAGCTCTGTGCCCCTGGGGGTCACAGGCATTGCCTCTGTCTTTAACCTCCTGCCTTGGCTGGGTTGGTCTGGGGGCAAGGGGGACCCCAGGGATGGGAAAAAGTGGGGTTCAGCCTGACCTCAGCTCCTCTCTTCCAGACAGCTGGGCTTCACTTTCGGCACACGGATAACATCAACTACTGGCGGGATGCCATGAGCCACGTGGGGCTTCCCTCGGTATCACCTCCCCTCTGCTTTCCCCAGCCAAGGGACACACTGGCCTTTGCCTTTGTGCCTTGTGCCACTACTGGGGGGGGCTGGTATGGCAGGGGGGCTTTGTCTTTGCCCCCTACTCTTTGACACCAGCAGCTCTGGGGACTGCCTCAATGCCATTGTCCCCGACGTGTCTCTGGTCTTGCTGCAGATCTTCCACCCGGAGACCACTGACATCTATGACAAGAAGAACATGCCCCGGGTGGTCTACTGCATCCATGCACTCAGGTGGGTGCCCTGGCCTGGCTCTCATGGAGCGTGTGCATGCTCATGAGCCCTTTGGTGGTGTCACCTTCATGCTCATGAGCCCTTTGGTGGTGTCACCTTCATGCTCATGAGCCCTTTGGTGGTGTCACCCGTCGGCCTCAGGTGACACAGAAGTGTCAGGAGGGAGAAGCAGGTGATGTCACCACGTGGGTTTGTATTTTAGCTTTTACCTCTTCAAGCTGGGGCTGGCTCCTCCCATCCAGGACTTGTATGGGAAAGTGAACTTCACAGGTATGGCACTGTGCAGGGAGACCTGGGCTGGGACTTGCTGAGGGGGGTTTGGCACCGATGCTCTGGGGTCCTGTGGCAGGAGGGATGTGCAGAGTGCCAAAGCCCCCTCAGGGATGCCACCCCAGTGTGGGGGTTTTCTGCACCCCCTTAGTCTGGCAGGGCAGTGGGGGCTCTGCTGGCTGCCCCTGCTCCAGTACTGCACTGCAGGGCTGGTGCTGAGCACGGCTGCCTCTGCTCTGCTCCAGAGGAGGAGATCAACAACATGAAGCGGGAGCTGGAGAAGTACGGGCTGCAGCTGCCTGCCTTCAGCAAGATCGGAGGCATTCTGGCCAACGAGCTCTCAGTGGATGAAGCAGCAGGTGATGGGTGCCTGGTGGGGACTGGGGTTGAGTGTCAGCCCATAGCAGGATCTTGGCTCAGCCACTGAATGCCCAGTCTGGGGCCAGCAAGCTGGGAGAGGGTGCCCTGGGAGGTGATGGTGCTCTGGGATGCAGTGGTGTCGGAATTTGTGGGTATTGGTGATTCTGAGATTGTAGAAAGTCTCTGTCTTTCTGCCCCGTTGCCAAAGAAGAAGCCATAATTCGTCTGTGCTGGTTTCAAGGTGGTTTATTCTGTTTATCTCTAACATGTTCTGCTGCCCTGCCGCAGCTCTGTCCTGCAGGGCAGCGTGTGGGGCTCTGCCCTCAGTGGGATGGTACAAACATTAAATACCAGAAACTACCTGTGCTGGATTTACAATAACGTGCCAATATCTATAATTTACGTTGAACAGTGTGTTCCCAGCCTAAACCAATAGAAAAATGCCAACACCACAGTGAAACATGGAGGGCATGAAGAAGGAGAAAAAGGACAAGGCACACCCAATTCCTCCATCTTGTCCCCTCTGAACCCCTAATCTAGAATCCTAAAATTTTACTTTTGCACCCATGCCACACTTAATTATTGCTTCTATCAAACACTCAGAGCTGGTAATTGATCCTGTAAGATTGAAAACTCTTTTCCATGGACAGAGATCACAGCCAGTGTCTCTGGGGGCTCTGTCCAGGGGGGTTCCTGACCCCTGCCAGGGTCCTAGACTTGCCAGGGCAGCCAGAGGGAAGCCCTGGATTCCCACACAGTGGGAGGCACCTGGTAGTTCTCTTTCAGCCTGCAGAAGGCTGCAGGTGCTGGCACAGCCCTTGCCAGCCAGCAGCAGCTGGGGTTCTGCATTCCCTGGGCTTGCTGCGAGTTCCCAGGTGCTGGGAACTGGAACTGCAGCTGGCCTTGTGTCCCATCTCACTCCTCCTCCTCCCTCTCCAGTCCACGCCGCGGTGTTGGCCATCAACGAGGCGGTGGACCGGGGCGTGGTGGCCCAGA